ACCAAAGGTGGTCCCTATTTTTCTACTTGTATTTTTATGTGCTTTCAAACTGCTAGGTTGGCAGAACCTGGGGCAATTAACAGGAGCTCACTCTATTATGCGATGCTAGGGATTCGAACCACCAAACTGCCGACCTTTCTGATTGACAAGCTCAGCAACTTAGCCGCCGAGCCACCGCATCCCTAGTCTAAATCTAGACAAAGACTAATATAAAATGTATTGATGTGGCAGAACTGCCCTACCCAAATAGGGGTCAAAAGAGGAGAGTAAATTATTGGTAAATTGCCAGCCCTCCATTACTAAGGGGTGACACTCCTTGTTCCAAATATACTACGGAGGCTATGCAGCCACAGAATAAACTCATTTCAAATTCAGATGGGCTCCACTGCTCAAGCTATGCCCAGGCCTGGCAAATAAGGAAGGCATCAGGAACATAATGAAGCTTTATTGATACTCTCCTGCCATATGGGCTCATAGGAGATCAAGTGGGACTGGAACAAGCCAACCAGAATTCAGATACTGGGGACTGCTGGGTACAAGAACAAGGGAGCTGTGATTGAGTTAAGGTCTGGCTGATTTGGTATACAGGTAGTCCTCGATGTATGACCACATTTGAGCCCAAAATTTATGCTGCTAAGTGAGACATTTCTTAAGGGAGTTTTCCCATTTGATGGCAAATTGATGGCTACGGTTGTTAAGTGAACCACTGTCATTATTAACTTAGCGTGGTCATTAAGTGGACCTGGTTTTCCCCTTTGTTTGTCAAAAGGTCGCAAAAGGGGATCTCATGACTCTGGGATGCCGCAACCGTCACAAATATTATCCAGTTGCTAAACGTCCGAATTCTGATCACGTGACTACGGGGAGGTTGCAATGTTGTACGTGTGGGAAAGGGTCAATGTCCCTTGTTCCAGCATCGTTGTAACTTCGAGCGGCCACTAAATGAACGGCTGTAAGTCGGGGACTACCTGTAGTGCATAAACCCCAAGCCTCCGCCCCTGCCTTGAAGGCAAGTTCACAAAACGGAACACGGGACGGTGTTCCGAAGAAAACTCACAGCAATGACTCTGTAACCCCACCCCGACAGGGCTAGTATCTGTTGGAAGAAGACGTCCGCCGTTCCGCTGACGGGTGGGAGAAATATGAGGGGGCACCGGATATTCCTGGGTCCTGCGTCGTAGAGCGACCAAATCTTGCTGTCGTCGTCATCTACAATGATCTGCAAAACAGGCGTCAGAGAGGACCAAAAGGTGATTCCTTTAAGCAGTCGTGACTCTTGGCAAGTACAACTGAAGACTCTCAGGGCTGCAAGAAGCCAGAAACAGAGCAGAGTTCAAAACCCTCAAGGTTTGTTCCATGTTGCCTAGGTACAAGAATCTGATCTACTAATACTGCAGACCAACTGGCACTAAGATGAGGGTTAATGGAATTGATGGGGAGCTCGGACTGAGGTCGGTCGTGAGAACTTGGAAACTAATCAGCGAGAAAAGCAACCTGGAATCAAGGAGAAACTTCCCAACGGTGAGGACAATTAGCCAGTGGAGGTTTTTAAGAAGAGATTGGAAAGTCACTTGTCTGAGATTCTATTCTATTCCTTCTTATTCCTATTCCATTCCTTTCCATCCCATCCCAATTCTATTCCTGTTCCGTTCCTATTCTATTCTAACTAATGATGTGTTTGACCCTGTCCTCAGCCTCCGATTGGTCATCTCTTAAAAACACTTAACGTCACGTTTAACAACACCATTAAATGGTCCTTAGATCTTATTTTGCCTACTTCTCTCTCAGAACCGAAAGTATTGTAATCATAGTTATCAGTATCATCACATAAAAAAGGGGGGGGGGATCCTATCACTGTGCAAAACATCAGGAGGAGCCCCTTAGCATCTTTCCCAACTAATACCGGATTTTATTAAAAGGCATAAGCGTTCGTAATCACTCGGTATCATAGACCAACAGGTCTCTCCTAGAACAGAACACAAAACAAAACAAAACAGAGTTGGAAGGGACCTTGTAGGTCATCTAGTCCAACCCCCCCGCCCAAGCAGGACACCTTACACCATTTCTGACAGATGTCCAGATAAAAGAATTGATGGGTTGTAAAAGAATCAGCTCGGATCACCTTAGATCCAATCTCACAACTTGGGAGTGTTTCCAAAAGAAACCCCACTGCAATTATACGTTAAAGACTCTTCTGGCAAGATGGGAAATATTGCTGGGGAGACGGCGAGAAGCACATGGCAAGATTGTGGCCTACAATCTCCTGCAAACTTTCTGATGTGTGGGCACACTTGGATGAAATTGAGCTGGTGCCAGTACATTCGTAGCTCATGCGTTCCCAAAGCCTTCCTCACAAAAGAGGGGGTTTTCATTCTGCCATGCGATAGGTAGGGCATATTTACTTCTTATGAGTATCTTCATTATATTTCTCTTTTAATAAACTGACCACTTTGCCCTCAAATATTGCCAACGCCAAAATTAGGCGGGTGTGTGTGTGTTAAAAGTACAATAACTATATATGTATACTTTTTGTTCTATTTTTCTTTTTTTTTTAAAGGGAGGAGAATATATGTTTAAAATTAAATATGTATATTGAAAAGAAACTATAAATACCATCAACATAAAAAGGAGCTTGCTCAGAAGCTGAAATACACCAAGCAAATGAGATGAAGAGTGGGAAGAAAAGCAGAGAGGTAAAGGAAGGAGGAATAGGAGAGAGGGGAAGAGGGGGGAAGAGGAGAAANTTGTCGGAAGGTCGCAAAAAGTGATCACATGATCCCGGGAATTGTATGACCCCCCCACGAGTCACTTAACCACCATAGTGATTTAGGAAACACTGCAAAAAACGGTTATAAAATCGAGTCTAGGTATGTATTGACTTGGCTTATGGTCGCAATAACTTATGACCGACCATCATCAACATGAGCCAGTTGCCAACCATCTAAATTCTAATCATGTAACTATGGGGATGCTGCCACGGTCGTTAAGTATGACAAAACAGTCAATAAGTCATTTTTTTCTCAGTGCCGTTGTAATTTCAAACGGTCACTAAATGAACTTGTCAAGATTTGAAACGTACTCATGCTGTTTCACTTTCAACAAACTATGATGGAGGGAGGGAAGGGGAAATTGGAATGTGGACTGTAACCATCAAGCACTCAGCCTGTGAGAACCAAGGTCACTTCAGCAGGCATTTGCCAGACCTTCCAGACATCTTCTCATAACGATACCGTGACACTTAATTGGACAATGTAATTGGAGGGAGGGAGGATTCTATACTTTAAATATATTGAATTGCATGGGAATTAGCCAGAATTGGTTTTTCTTTCATTCTGTGCCGAAATGATGTACTCAATAAAGTTTTGCATTAAGAGATCGGATAGTTTCGATGGTGCTTGCTGGTTTGGGTTCCATCAGTAGGAACATTGACAGAAGTCGATAACTACCTGCACACGCGCGCACACACCCTCGCTGAACAGAAAAAGGAAAAGGAAAAGAATATTCAAAACACCCAGGACAAACTTCAGAACACCATCAAGCAACCAACTTGACCATTATGGATCTTTACCCTATCCACCATGAAATCAATTCCGTCGGCCATTTCAGGATCTACGGGACCAGAGGCAAAATTCCCAAGGACAATTTTCTTCAACATGAAAGCAGGCAGCAACCAAAAGCTGGGAAGAGAGAGGAATATAAAGGTAAATTAGGACTTCAAAGTTCAGTTGAAGCCCTGCATTGTCAAGTTAAATATAAAAAAAATCTCTTTACACACAGCCTCTGCTTACCTGATTTCACAATGCTAGTAAAGCCAATCTGTCCATCTTTTAACAATTCCCAGATGACTATTAAACTATCCTATCCATTATTGTAGACAAAGACATGCTGCATAGAAGGTTGCTAGAATTTAGCCTAGTATTGGCCACTTCAAGTATTAGTGATTACTTAATGTTGAACATCACCACTGAATAGCAAAGCTTTCTACTCTGTAACTTCCAATTTTAATTTCTTTTATTCTTTTCCTTCTTAGCTGAATATGCATAATCTAATGATGGTGGCTTTGTGTTGCGCAAAATTGCCATGTTGTATGGTTATACTTTGAGGTTTCTGGCAGCCCCGGCAAAAAGTTTCTCTCACAGGCTAACAAGTCCAGCGGGCTGGAAGATGAATAGTTAACTCCCCTATTCATCTCCGCCCCCTGCCTTTTATCCCCAGAGCTAGGGTGGGGCTTCGCTAGCAGTGGAGGCTCTTCCATCCCAAGGATCAGCAGATAGAGATCTGCCGATGTCATCCAGTGGTGTTAGGAGGCAAACAATGGTTTCTTGTGCCGAATTGATCACTCTCTGTAGTGCCTTCCTGTCCGCGGCTGTTAAATCAGCGTATCATACTATCTGTCAGGCCTGCAGTCATATTCCTTTGCGGATCTTTGGCCTGCCATACTCTCTCTATTATTTTACTATGCTGTTTCATTAGTGGGGTAATTGGGAGGGGGAATGGAATAGAATGTGTTGTTGCCAAAATAAAACATTCCTTTCTAGAAGCCCAAGGTCATTCTTTGTCTCNCAGGCACAGCTGATCAGTAGCAAAAAAAACACTTTAAAAAGTTTTTTTAAAGTTCCTATGATCACAGGGCATAGCTGATTGTCGCAGAGCTGATCATCTGAACTTTAAAAAAAAACTTTTTAAAGAATTTTTTTACTACCAGCTTGGGCAAACCAGCCTGAACCTGTAGCATTTCACCCCTCTATCAAAGTCAACACAACAAAACCCCAGTTGAGTCACAATCGGGCAGTAGTCTGGTTCAAGGGAAGCTGTGGAGATACATCCTGTTCACTAGAATGAACTATTTGACCTGCATTTTTTCATCTTTTTTTAAAATAAAGCCCTCTGAAGCAGTTGGCCACATGCTTTTAAATGGCTCTGATCTATCTTTTAATTTAATTGCCCTCTTGCCATTCAGGTTGAAGAACCAACTGAATCAGGAGGAAGTGAAGGATTTTGTAAAGGAACAAAGGCTTCTTGTGAAGAGAGAGAGGGAGGTTGAACTCACTTCATCAAAACACCGAACTGCAAAAACTGCTGCGCACTTTATTCCTCTTTCCTGGGTGGCCCTTTGCACGGGACTAGCTCAAGCACGTCTCTTTAAGTGGAAGTTCTAAAATGTGACAAATATTTATCCGTGCAAATCAGCAGAGACTAGATTGCAGAAGACTTTTTAAACTTTTTATCATGCTTTTTAGGCTTTTTTCTAGCCTAGAAAACAACTTAAATGTTAGCCAAAACTTCTAAGTGGCGCAGTTCTCTCCAAAGCCAGCCATTAAGCGATACAGCTAGCAGTTGTGAATTTCTCTGCACAACTATTTAAAATCACAAACAGCCAAAATATCTCAGGGAGACATTTCCTCGAGCAAGATTGGAACAGCTTGATACAATGGTTAGATTTGGGAGATTCCATTCTATACCATACAATGAATGTACATGTATCTGTGGAGCTGTAGAGGCAGCAGATCTGACTCATATATCATTCAATTGCTGTGTATATATGGGGGCGAGAGACAAGTACCTTGATTCACATATTAAACATATGGCCCAGTGGGAGGCCCATGTTAAAACAACATACCTCATGTGTGGCCGGAATAATGAAAACGACATTTAATACAGCACAATTTCTGACTAAAATGGTCTGACTGAGATCGGCAAATGTGGGCCTAATTGGGGTAGATTGCAGGGGTGACAAAGAAATATAATTCCATGTTATTTTATTCTATTTTACATGCTTATGTATTAAATGATTGCATTTTAGCCTAAAATGATTGCATTTTACCCTACTCTCACTTTAAATTGTTTGTTTAGAATTTTATTGGTAATGTGTTTGAACCGGTACGTTGATATGGCCTATAGGCTAATGAAGATAGATAGATAGATAGATAGATAGATAGATAGATAGATAGATAGATAGATAGATAGATAGATAGATAATTAGATAGATGGATGAGGTAGGGTAAAATG